TCTACAAGTCAATCCAAAATTCTAATATCTGAGTTAATTGATCGTGCTTTGACCAGTAAAAGAAAATTTGATTGATCGTGTTAAAAATTATCAATTCTTAAGGACGAATTAATTAAAGTGCAATAGGTGCGATGTCGTTCGGCAAATGTCGTGCTCTATGCCATTTTCTGTATCATGGACCATTAGTTTTTAATTGGAATCTCAAGTAGGAGGATAGATCAAATGATTGATAATTTGATTAACATGAATTAGTCCCATTATGTCGTAAGAGCCTACAATATTTTATATACAATATTCGATCCCCACATAGTAAAAGACATGGTGAGGGCCATACATTGATTAATAATTTCACATAGATTAGGTACAGAAACAAAACACCCATACAAGACTAACTATGTGTATATATTTGTGTATTTTTTTCATTCTTTCGTTTTTTCATCTACCAAAGATATATTCATCATTTCTATTTATTATCCCTCTTACCAGCCACAAAAAAGTGAAGAAAAAATGTGGTTAAACTTTTTCATTCATCTTAGTAAACGGACTATTAAGCTCTAAAAATTCGTAGTTTTTTTCTCCAGAAAGTATGGTTTCCCTTAGGGTTCACACGATTTGATGTAGAGGTAGAGTGATTGAAAAGTAAATGGATGGAAAAGGACAAAATTAGATAAAACATTATATTTGGCTAACAACGAGAAATAGAAGAGATGAAACTTTCTTGTAGCCCACCAAAATTTATGCCTCCAATTTTTTTTTTAGAAAAGCAGACAAAAAGCTAAACTTATGTGTTGAAATACATGTTATTTACTTTAATCTCTTCTTTCCACTTTTCCATCAATGCCAAATGGAGGAAAAAGATCATCCCTCCCAATTTTCCTTCCTTTTACCAAACATAAAAAAGAGAAGGATGGTTTCTTTCCATTTGGAATAAAAAGTGCATTACTTTATTTTGTTCAAATTTTCCATCATTTTCTATGAAAATGCAATGACAAAAAATGAGTTACTCGCACTCTACGTATTGGCAAAACCCTACTTCTAAGAATTAAATAGTTCTGATTCCTTTAACACCTTCACTTTGTTGGTATATCATGATCAAAACATCTATATTTTGTTTTTAAAAAGTTTGATTATTTTATGAATTGTTGTAAAAAAAATTTAGTGAAAATTATACGATCAAAATCATCAAATGAAGTTAAACATACAGAGTATATTTAGTATTGAGGTATCCTGACTTAGTGTATCCAGTTGTTTTAGGTTTTGTTGTGATATTATGTCATTATCGTATTGTCCTGGTATTATATTTGTATTTTGCTTCTTAGTCTACAAGGAAGGCATAAGTTGGTATCAATTTTAAACTTCTCCCTTAAATTCCTCCGCATATGTACCCCAAATGTAATCTTTAATTATCAAAAACGCTGGTCCTAATAAAGGGATTGATATCTTATTCACTTAATGTTAGATCTTTTATTGTAGATTCAAGTAAGATCCACTATTTATAAATAAACCCTCAGTTATACGCAATGGGGCCTCCAATTAATTTGTTTTTTGAACGAGATAAGCTAAAAAGAAAAATATTCAAATAGCAGCAGATAAAAGTAACAACATTACAAGAGAAATTCGATCAATGGCTGATTGGGCCATTCTTTAACTTCCCCAACTAGGTCAATCTCACAACAACCTCTGTTTTTTTTTTCTTTTTTCTTTTTTTTTTCTTTTTGGACTTGTGGTTGTTACTATAATCTCAAACATACACAATTACACACGTGTGTGCCACTTAAGCTCAAATTTTATATAACAAGAGAAATTCAAAATCAGGATACATTGTCCAAAATATAAAGTTCGTTATTTTTTGGATAAAATCATATAGTTCAGGGGCACAATTATAAAATTTCCCATTAGGTTTCTAACAGTCATTAATCATTGGGCAATGTGAACTAATAACGTAGTTGAAAGTACAATAAGAGAAATATAATAGTTGAGGAGATTGTGTGAAAAAAAAAAGTGACAATGGAGTGGAGTCAAAGTCACTACAACAAAAAATATTTTTTGTGACGATTTTAAATTTGTCGCAAAAAATTTACTATTCGCGATGATTTTATAATTTTGTCGCAAATTTGTACTTTTAGCAAATTTTTTGCGACGATGTTTTAAAAACGTCGCAAAAAGTCGATTCCCTCCTACTTGTTTTTAGCGGGAGAAATGGCAGAAATTTTTTCCAACAAAACATTTTCGTCACAAATAGTTTTATCTTGTCGCAAAAATAAATAATTTACAATTTAAAGTAAAATAAAATCTAAATTTATATTTTTGCAATTTTTTACGATGTTTTTTTTAAATACGTCGGGAAAGAAAGATTCCCTCCAAATTATTTTTGCGAAAGCAATGGCGGGAGTTGAAAAATTTTTATTTACGACGTTTTTAAATTCATCGCAAAAACCCAATATCTGCGACGATTTAATAATTTTGTCGCAAATAATTATTACAGTAATTTTATTCGCGACGTTTTCATATTTGTCGCAAAAAAGTATTCCATCTGCGATGTGTTTTTGAGTTTGCCGCAAAAAATGTGAGAAATGAAAATTTTTTTTATCAAATTAAATAATAAAAAATTAAAATAAAATAAAATAAAAATTTTATTCGCGACGTTTTTATATTGATCGCAAAAAATGATACTATCTGCGACGTGTTTTTGAGTTTGTCGCAAAAAATGGGAGAAATGAAAATTTTCTTGTGTCAAATTAAATAATAAAAAATTAAAATAAAAGAAAATAACAAGTTTATTCGCGACGTTTTTAAATTCGTCGCAAAAAATATACTATCTGCGACGTTTTTTGAATTCGTCGCGAAAAATGTGAGAAATTTCAATTTTTTTTATCAAATTAAATTAAAATTTTATTTGCAACGTTTTTAAATTCGTCGCAAAAAACCTAATATTTGCGACGATTTTTTTATGTTCGTCGCAAAAAAGTGATTTCCTCTTCCTTCCTTCTAATACTAAATATATCGGGAAATGAATATTTATTTACAATAAAAAAAAATTTGTTGCAAATTAAATAATAAACTTTCACTGTGCAAATCATCTCATACCCCAAGAATCTTACCATAATCCTCATTAGCCTAGAAGCTCAGATCTAATTTCACTCATATGTACACATATTCTGCTCACCCATGTTATATTCACCATCAATGGGCCTTACTTATCTACTTGTTTCTTTGTTAATGAACGATTATACAAAGTGGCATTGTTGACTTGAGGTACTGTTGCGCTCAAGATTTTTTTTCGTATTTTAGGTTGTATTAATTGAATTACATAAGGTTCAAAAAAAGAAAAAACTGAATTGTATTGTATTTAAAAATTGTAATGTTTAAACTTCAGTAAATGATTAATAGTTGGATAACTAATGATTTATTGGACTAATAAGAAGTTATTATAATATGTTATTATTGTCTTTTTATCTTTTTTAGAATAGTATTATCAATTCAATTTTTTTGATAAACATTGACATTTGAAAGTAGTATGTAGATTATTAGATCTATTCAAATATTTATTTTTTTTTAGCAAATTTGGATATTCACTACATACCTACAAACATATAATGTAATTTGGTGATTATTTAATAATATTGAAGATAAATCCATATTCTAAATGTTAACATCATCTATAATCAACTTATTTAGATAAGAACGAATATCTATTTTAACGGATTTTTATGTGAGCTATGAAAAATAAAATTTATTAGATAATTGAATTGGATTCGGATCATATTTTTCAAATTGGATTTTAATCAAATTTATTTGTTTGGAAAGAAGATAATCAAAAGTCAAACAATGAATTTATTAGTTGAATTAATGCAATTAATAAAAAAATAAAAATAGTCTTAAAAAAAAGATAAAGTTGACATTATAAAATTTTTAAACGGTAAATAAAAAAATTAATTTTGTTTATCTTAAGTCATTTTTAATAAAATAAATTTTTTATATTTTTATATTAAATAAAATTATTATTTCGCGATATTTTTATATTCGTTACAAATGTAATTTTTGTAATTTTAAATTAGACTTAAAATATTAATTGCGATGTTTTTAAAAAATATCATGAAAAGGTAATTTCCACCAAATTTTTTTTCGCGCATACTATTCGCGACGATCTCATAATTTTGTCGCAATTTTTTTTTTACAAAATTTTTTTTGTAATTTTAAATTAAACTTAAAATATTAATTGCGACGTTTTCAAAAAAACGTCGTGAAAACGATATTCCTAAAATTTCCCTCCAACAGACTACTTATCGCACTCTATTTTCCATAGCCTCCATTTCACTTGCTAGCCAAGTTCCTCCCTACGATTTCTCTCTCTCTCTCTCTCACTGAAGCTCCAAATCACAGAAGCTCCACCTGCCTCTCCCTGCCTCTCCATCGATTGAACTCGAAGAAGCTGCCTCTCTCTACCAGTTGTCGAAGAACCAGCCACACCAGTCGTTGAAGCCACAAGCCACACCAGTCCTCAACGCCAGGCCACCGCCATAGCCATCGCCAGCAACCTAGAAACCCCCTTCGCCCCTCCCCAACCCAGAAAACACCCCCACCCGAAAGCCCCTCCCCAGCCTAGAAACCCCCAGCAATCCTTGATTTTTAATCTTTGATTCAACTCAGAGATCAAGCCGAAGCTCAGCTGAAGCTCAGGCACCAATTTGATCTTTGATTTTTCTGATTTTTTTAGTGCAAAAACAGATTATTGGTTTATTTTTTGGGTAATTTATTTTCATGGGTTGGTATGTTTGTTGTGGATTTTGTCTTATACTTTTGTTTGTGGATTTGTTAAATTCTACTCACTTTAATGTTTGACAGTTTTTTTATTGTTTGCTACGAATTTTTGTTATTTGAAGAGGAATTAGTTTTTTGGTACCGTTTCTTAATCTGCTGGGTATGTGGGTTTTTGCTGAAAATGTGTTTTATGGTCTGAGATTTTTTGCAAAATAACACTCTGCTTTGATGCATATGAGATGGCTATGCAAAGTTTCACTGAGAAAATTGTGAATTTGATGAAAAGTGAAAATTTGCTTGAGTCCCAAGGTGGCCCCATCATACTTTCTCAGGTATGGCTTCCATGTTTTGGTATTTTAATTTTCACCACATATGCACTCATGTCAAATCTGGGTGTTGAGCCATACATTAAAATAAATTCATCAATGTAGCAGTTACTCTAGAGTCTAGATAGAAAATGGAAACTTGTTGAGGATATCCATCCATTATTGCTAGAACTAAATTTCAGTTTTCACAATGATGGTACTGGCTAATTTGTTTTGTAGATTGAGAATGAGTATGGGCCACAAGGTAAGGCATTTGGAGCTGCTGGTCATCAGTGCATAACTTGGGCTGCAAATTTGGCGGTCGGGTTGGGTACAGGAGTTCCCTGGGTAATGTGCAGGGAAGAAGATGCCCCAGATCCAGTGAATTCATGGAGGGATGGGCTACATACAAGTATAACCTCCCTGGTATAAATAATCATACTTCTTTATACACTGCTAACACATATCACAGAAATTTGGTATCGAACTATGTAATTTATGTGTATATCCTATCACAAGGAGAAGGAATGAAAGGTAAGGTTCTCTAAATAAAACACACACTGAACACAACCGTTCTGGGGTATATTATTGTTCCACTTACTTTACTTCTTCACCCTCTCTTCTTTTCTTAATTGCATCTCCCGCAGAGCTGGGGTGATTGAATCTAGCTGCTCATTTAATGTTCTCGCCATTTTCTCTGGTTGTCACAAGCAGAAATACTTGATTCGGCGAAGGTGAGTAATTTTTTTCCGAACAGTAGTAGAATCTGGTTGCAATGTATCGCACCATGGGCACAACTTTTGGATGGAAGCCATAACAAATTTAGGGAAAATCCACATATAATTGTGTATTTTGTCAAATGAAAAGAGTGTTCTCTGTCAACTATAACATTGTGACCAGTCTCTGAAGTTTTGTTGTAATCATTGAATTTCTTCACTAAGAATTTCAAGTCTGTCTTGCTCTTTAGGCTATAATTGGAGGATAACTGGGTGATTGAGTACTGTGTCTTATTTTGTTCATCAATTGAAAGTTTCTGCAATTTGTACAAATCAATTTTATATATGTTGATGATACATCTATACAGTAAGATGCGATTTTTTGTCAGGCAAATTTCTATTCTCTTGAAAGTACAGAGGTACACTTCAAACTCTCTCCTTCTTTGACTATTTTTTAAATAGTCTGATCACTTACAGATGGACTGTTCACGTTACTGTTCATTACACATTCAGTTGCATTCTTTTAGCTTATGCCAGGGATTTTGTCATTCTGTCAGCTGGTTTTCTTCTCCTTCAGCTGCTAATTCCAGTTGGAATTTTCATTCTCCAGCTGAGAGTATTTTTTTGGCTATATGATTGTTCACGTCTCTTGGACTGCTCAGCTCGTTTTAGCTTCAGAATTTGGGTATATTTCAGCTGGACTGATTTTTAATGCAGCTGAGGTTTTCAGCGATTTGTTCCAGCTTGGAGAATTAGGCAGCAAAGGTTTTTTAATTGAGTGAGTTGGAAATGGAATGGTGGACATGGTACATACTAGTGATTTGTTTTTATTTCCTTGTGATCCGGATTTCTTTAACCTGCTTACTGTGTTATTGTGCAATTATCTTAGCATCTATGTCCTGTTAAATGTTCAGATGACATTTTTCGTATTTCTTACCGATTTAAAGATTCTCAGTATAAGAAAAAAACCTTTGCATGGTAATCATCACCTTCTGTTAGTTGAGATTGACATTTTCCTTTTCTTGTGGAACCTGTAGGTTCGGGAGTACATTGATGACACAGAAGATTATGTACACTTCCCCTCGTTCTACCAATACAACTATCTAACCCATTTTCCCTTAGGCCATACTTGTACCCTAGTACTACGGTGACTTCCGTTGCTTGCTTCAAATAGAGCCGAGATCCTAAATTTGACCTCTATAGCCAAACAAGTCCCAAGTAAACCACCACAAGTGTTAGAGATCAACTTACCTAAATTTAACACGAACCAAACAATCATTAATCTCAAGGGCATTGCAGCAAGTATATCAAATCATCATTTGTTCTTTAAATGCATCAGTTTTGATCACACTTCCATTCAGAAGACTAAAACCAAATTTCAATAAATGGTGCAGATGGGCAATGCTTGGATAGATGATAATACCAACACAAAGGGAATGTATGACTTCTACTGGACACATGCTTTGAATTCTGATGAAACCCATGCAGGAATTGACAAGTAGTGCGACTATATTACTGGAAATTTTTCAGATACGTGCAATCAATATCAAAATCAAGGAGACTACGAATATGGAAATATTGACATCTACAACATATATGCTCCACTTTGCCATTCATCGGGAAGCAAACCTGGTCCCCCTGGTTCTGTAAGTCCATACTCTAGTGACATTCATGTTTAGTGACAATTACAGAACTCTATCATGAAACAGGGAAAATAGTGAAAACAATATCATGATAGAAGAAAGATATATAAAATGTTTTTTAAAGGGAGGAGAAGAAGAGAAAGGAGGGGCGGGGAGGTTGCCCTCCACTGCATCATAGAGGTGGTAGTACAACTCCTGTGTTCTGGAGACAATTTCATAGTTAGATTCAACTAAAAGGAGTATTACTCACATGGTCATTGACTAGTAATGACTACACTACTATACACAATGAACACCCTTGGTACTTGACTTGAGATTAGAATGAATCTTGAATGAGTTCACAACTTCCACACCGTTTTTTCTTTTAAATTAATTAGAATGCTCAGAATTGAGTTCAGAATGTCATCTAACAAAACCAATAAGGATAGATTTAGGACTCACTATTTGAGCAAACCGCCATATCAGTTCATTCAAGTTAAGCTGTAAATGATCTTATTCTTAAGGTTACATAATCAGGTGAAGGACTTTGATCCCTGCTTCGATGACTACGTCTCCTCCTAGCTGAATCTACATGAGGTGCAAAAAGCTCTTCATGCCATGCAAACCGGATGGTCGGCTTGCAGGTATTGTCTTTTTATTTATATTGTAGTATCATACACATGGTAACAAAGGTATCACACATTCCAACCTCAAAATTGATCAACTTCTCAAGTTCAACCTTACGCATTGAACCACGTCATCTTATATCTAGATATGTATCATGTTCAAGCAGAACCACTAACTAGCTTCCCTCCTGAATCTTGCACAGCAGTTTTGGCTGGACAGATAGGCCAACAACCATTCTACCCACAATCAAGCAGCTCATGGCAAGTTGTATCAGTGTATGGGTGTTCAGGTATGTCCTACATGTTTCTTTTTTTTGGTGCTAGTAAGTCCTACATGTTTCAATTCATATTATTCACCAAATATCCATTATTTCTAGCAATGAACACTTGTAGTCTCTGGTGTGTTGATTTGGATAGTCTTCTGACACAAACAAAAGCCTTAGAAGCAGGAGAAGAACTTGGCCATTTCACTGGGGGCAGACTGAATGCATTAAAGAGCTATAAGGAATAATTTGAACCTGTTTTTGAAGACTGGGAAGTTGGTCTGTGTTGCTGGATTGAAAAATCTGGGATGTCATGGAGCACTGGATTATTTCTGTAAGGAGGAGGTGGTTGGATATGAAGCAGTTGCATGGAGCTTGCTAGAGGCTTGGGTGCTGATATGAGACATTAAATGTAATTAGAGATGGTTTAAATTCTCTTGAAGGATTAAAGCCATTTTTTTTATTTTTAGAACTTTTTTTTCTTTGATTCTTGTAATTCATTCTTTTGGGAAATAAAATTGTTTTTTTAAAAAAAGATGTGAAATGTATGTTGAATGGAAAAGATATGAAATGTATTAATTGTGTTAGCTTTTATTGAACATAGGTATTATTGGTGTACAGGTGAAAAATTTTATTGGAATATCATTTTTTATTAATTATTTTCAAAAAAAAAAATATTTTTGCAACGAAATTAAAATCGTCGCGAAAAATTGTAGGAACAATCTTTTTTCGCGACGATTTTTATACGTCGCAAATGTATTTATTCAATTATTATTTACATTTTTTATTTATGTAAAAAATTATTTGCGACGTTTTTTTTACGTCGCGAAAAATTAATTAAATTATTATTTATATTTTTTATTTATGTAAAAAATTATTTGCGACTTTTTTTACGTCGCAAAAAATTAATTAAATTATTTTTTTTACATTTTTATTTATAAAAAAATTATTTGCGACAATTTTTTTACGTCGCAAAAAATTTATTAAATTATTATTTTTTATTTTTTTACATTGTTAGAATAGATTTTAGCGACATTTTGTGAAGTTTTAGTGACGTTTTTTGTTTGTCACAATTTTTTTTTTTTTGTGACGAAAATAAAATTACGTCGCAAAATACTTTCTGCGATGAGGCTATTACGACGAAAAAAAAAATGTCGCAAAAAATAATTGACGACAAAATTTTTACTTTTAGCAACAAAAAAAATCGTTACAAAAAACGTTTTTGTTTAGTGAGTATAGTTTACCCTCAAAAAATTGGTATAAATAGATGTGCTCCTACCATCTTCATTCCATGTACTTGCCTCACGCTTATTACTAACAGCTCTCAATTACTTCATACTTTTTTCTTGGGAGAGAGAGAGAGAGAGGAAACGGATGATGTCGTCCAACTGTCATTCACTTTATCTTATTGTACTTGTTAGCTTACTTCCTAATCTCTCTCTGTTGTCTGGTGCTGATCCCACAGATGGGTTCACTGAAATTCCATTGACAGAAGCTAATTTTGTACTGCAGAAGCCTTATGATACACCCCCTGAAGAGCGGTACAGTTACGAAAATGGAGTTCACAAGATGTGGGTTTATGCTGATGATAAGCCACTCGCCCTTGGTAGCAACACCCAACCACGCACTGAAATTCGCAATAAAGTACTCACTACCAATCTTCCCTCTAGATTTACACTTTTTGTACCATTGATGCATGTGCGGTAAAGTTACGAATCAACTGGGTTAATTTAGGAGTTAGAAAGATCAGATTTGGCTAACTTGAGATGGAATTACATAAGTTGGGTTCTAAAGTGCTGGGATTACAAAATTTAGGACTTAAAAAGATCAAATAAGTTGGGATTGATTCTAAAGTGTTGGATAAAATCCAACTCTTGGGATGGATTTCAACCAACCTATCATAATTTGATCTATTTTAGATCGTAACTTTTAGTACGATATTGAGTTTGATGCGATATTACAAGTTTTGACTCAGTTAGATCTAATCATAACTCAAAAGCAAAATATGTTTGAGGCCCGTGGCGGATCTACAGTGGGGGCAGCTACCTCCACTGGAATTTTAAAAAATTTTGGGGATTAAGTATAATTTTAAAAAATTTAAAATTTATTAGAGATTTGCCCCACTGAATTTTTTTAAAAGATTTAAGGGTAGTTATGTTATTTTGACAAATATATGAGTCTCACTTATAAATATCAATAGAAGATGATATCAAAAATTTGGATATTTAAAGATTAACTAATATGTTACAAAATAAGTTAATCCTCTCATTTGTTTTATGTTTAGACATTGAACTAAATTTGGGACTTGTAGCCCTCTTCTTTGTTTTATGTTTATATGTTGAATTGAAAATAAAAAATTGGGGCTTATAATCATCTCTTATGTTTTATTTTTTATGCATTAAATTGAAACTCATATTTGTAGTCCTGTATTTATTTTTCTATGTTGAAATAAAATTGGGGTTTGTAATCATTTTCTATGAATTATTTTTTTATATATTTAATTAATATTTGGGTTTGTAGTACTCTCTAATGTTTTAGTTTTATATGTTGAATTAGAATTAGGACTTGTAGTCGTCTCATTTGTTTTATTTTTATTTGTAGAATTGGAATTAAGACTTGTAGTCCTCCATTATAATTAGGCTAAATTATTTTGATTTGATAGTTTGAATAGTTTTATTGTGATAAGTTAAGTACTTCATATACCTAAGTTTAGTTTACTAGAATAATTATAGTTTAAGTTAGTTTCGATTATTTGTTAAAATTTAATGATGAATATTAAGTTTGTGATTGAACAAATTAATTTTTGAATTAGTTATGAAATTTTTTCTTAAAATTTAATATATGATTGAGCCCAATTTTAGGGTTCAATATTTTTTTGTTAGGTCTTATAGATTAATCTATAATGATTTTTTTTTTTTGTTATTCCTTTTGTATATCGCTCATGTATATGAATTGTGTCTTTAATTAGTGTTCTATTAATAAAATTATACTTTTGTGAATATTTTAAATTTTAATATTAATATAGTTTATGTTGCCCCACAAGAGAAGATGTTTAGCTCCGCCTGGTTGAGGCCTAAATATCTAAGAGTAATGGTGTATCAAGTAACAAATAAGTCCAATAGCTATAATTATAATGATTCTAATAGACTGTGTAAGCTACCACAAGGCGCACAACATTATATTAGCAAACAAGCTTCAATTTTATATACCATTAACCATACTCGATTCAAAAAGAATAGTTTGATACCATAAAGCTATAAAGTTCAGATATTTCATTGAGATTGACGTATTCGTATTTGATATCGTATTGAATATGATACTCGTTGAATATTCGAAGATACGTATCGAATACATCTTCTACATATCCGATAATAATTAAATATTAAGATACTTCATGGATACTTTTGTGGTCGAACAACATATATAATTGTTAAGTTAAACTTTTAACATCTTTTTTCGAATTCACATACTATACAATACATTAACAAAAAATTCATATTATTTCAAAGAAACATAAGTGTTTCTTAAGTATTATCTACAATTACATGTCAAAAGAGTATAAAATAAAATTATTATATTATTATCTTAGCAAAATTTACTTCTAAATACTAGGTAAATGTTAGCTTTAATTCTTTTAATTAGTCACTTCATTTTGTGAATATACATACTACAATGATATGATATATATTTTCTTGAAAAGAAATTACAAAATTTTCTAATTGTATATTAAATAATTACCAAAATATATAATTATTAAGATGATTGAAAATAATAAAAATATTAAATATATTTGATTATAGCCGTATTTTAGTCATACTTATATCCTATTTTTTTAGACTTTGTTATATTACCGTATTCGTATCGTATCCGTATCTTGTATCTGTATCCGTGCTTCGTAACCGTAAAAAAGGTCACTATTCAAAAATATAGCTGCAACTTCCTTGGGAGGGAAAATTACAGTTGAACCCGTTGAACCGTGGGCTCAATTTCACTGTCTCTTGAACTATTGCACTTTTCCCCTTGCCCCTTCCCCCATCTACTTGAATATGCAAACGGCCGCTATTATTTTTGGACAAAAATTGTCAACATGTCAGAACAAAGTGACAAAGATACATAATGCAGGGACAAATAATTTTCTATTAAAGTTATAATGGATGTTAATACTTGGGGCCATATGAAACTAAATCATTGTTACTGCAGGGGCTTGACTACTGTTCGGGAGTATGGCAATTCGAAGGCAATTCTTTTGTGCCAAACGGCACCTCAGGTGCTACAATAGTGCAGATCTTTGGTGCAGCACATGGAAATACAACTATGCTTTTGAGGATCTACAATGGAGAAATGAGGTACTACAGTTATGAACTCGTGGATGCTACAAACCTTTATGACAAATGGTTGAGGGTAAATTTAATCCACAACGTTGATGGAGGATTGGATAGCGCCTCACTTCTTACAAGGATAACGCCTCAATCTGTTAGGGAGGCACCTACAAATTATAAGCCCCATTTACATAAATGGGCATCTCTCACAACATGGTTTACATCCGAGTACTTTGCTCTCCTTGAACAACAAAACACTAATGTCACCGTAACCTTTGATAGTAGAGTAAGTCCCCCGAACAAACCACTTAATTAGTGTTTCTTTGTGTTTAGTCTCTTTCTTAATTAATACATTAAATACTTGACAAGTAGTACATAAACACTATTTTGTGCATCATCAAATTTCATAAATATTACTTGAGACGGTTGTAGCCGCCATAAAAAAAAAAAATATTGAGGCTCCACTTATTATGGGGAGACATACCATCACAACATCTAGTTATACAAAGTGGAATGATCTAACAAAATAAAAATCACAATATATTAAATTATAAAATGATCATAACTTCATTATAAAAAAAAAACACTATTGAAACAATAAAATAAGTTATAGACCAAAACATTGGATATAAAAGATAAGGCAAACTTCATTTTATAAAAATATGGCAAACTTCATTTTACCCCTCATAGTTTTCCTCGATTGCTTAAGACCTTCCTATGACTTGAAAATTTGACATAACCCTCAGGTAGTTATTGGACCAAAATGCACGGCTTAACACCGTTAACAACATGGGTAAAATGACTTTGATATCCCTCTACTCTTCTTCTCCAACAACTTCACCCGTTCTTCTTCTCCCACACTCCAACCCATTTTTCTTCTCTAACACAGCCATGCCACCACCACTGTTATTACCCAAATTAAACAACCCATCAACTGTGATCTCCACTCCCGTTAAACAACAAAACTACTAATGCCCATTATAGTTACCTTCATCACAACAGAACTTCGGCAGCCCCCACTACATTAAATCTAGCAGCCAACCCACCCCAATGTCGACGTTCACTGCGCCATCACCACCCCATGGCAGCCCACTGCCTACACCATACAAACCACTGAACCTTCACAATTCAACCTCAACACAACTCAGAACCTCTATCTCAACATCTCAATTTCACTATCCTTCACCAAAAATCAAAACATGAATCAAATTGGAAATCGACATGAAAATAAAATAAAGATCGAAAATTAGAATCAGAACAAAATCGAAATCACAATAAAAAATAGAGAAAGAGGGTGTATGGTAGTGTTTGATCAATTGTTACGTGCCCAAGAAGGATTAGGAAAGCTGCAACTAGACAGAGAGAATTAAGAAGCAGATAGCTAGAGTGAATCAAGACCCTAATTTTAGGAGTAGCTGTGAATGATTGGGGGCATTAATTAAGGGCAGGTACCTTGTCCTATGATTAAGCAGTTGCTGATTTTCTTCCTTGTATTAAGGAAAGTCTCCTCTATTTATGTAGAAGTCGTAGGAGGGTTAAGGCACTGAGCATCCTCTGTTGTTCTTTCTTACTATTCTGTTACAATAATAAGAAGATTCCCCCCTAGAAGAGGGAATTACTGGTCTTCTTGTCTTTCTTCTCCCTAGGGTCGTATCATCTAGTATCAGAATGGTGATCGAACCTATGGTCGAAACACTCATGGCAGACGGGGCTATATCTCAAGAGGCTAGGGGCATGGAAGAAGCAATCAAATAGCTGCGTGAGAATTCTGACTTTTATACAGAAACTCTTAAGGAACTCCGACAATCGATGGCAGACATGAATCTAAAATATGACCAACTGGCTTCACGAAGAGTCAATCCAGTTGTCGATCATTCATCATCATCCCATAATAGTATCCCACGATCGAGTAGACTTCATGATTCAATCTAGTCTCAGCATGCAAAGATTGATTTTTCCCGTTTTGATGGAGAAAACCCAAGTGGATGCACAAATATGAATGATTCTTCAAATATCATGGAATCGAAGAGGAGGATAAAGTGTACTTGGCCTTTATCAACCTATAGGGCAAGACAATCAGTTGGTTCTAGATCTACGAAATAGCAAGCAACTCGATTACATGGTAAAAGTTCTCTACCCAGGTGTGTACGAAGATGCTATTGGAAACCTCACAAAACTCAAACAAGTAAGTACTGTTAAGATGTATCAAGAAGAATTTGAAGTTCTTATGAGTCGAACTAAATGTCTTTCTGAAAAATTTTTTGTAAGTTGTTTGACCAGTGGACTACAAACTGAGGTGTGGAATGTGGTCATGATGTTTGGCCATACCACCTTAACCCAAGCCATTGGAGTTGACCTACTGGAAGAAGAAACAATGTTATCAGTTATCCGAAAGGTTCGCACACCCCTCAAGGCAAGCACCAATTTCTCAAAACCAGTTATTCCCCAAGCACCAATCACAAATTCTCTCCCACTTGTCAAGAGAATCTCCCAAACCAAGATGGATGACCGAAGTGCAAAGGGATTGCGCTACTAATGCGATGAAAAATATGTTATGGGTCATCGATGTAAGAAGAGACTTATTTGTAAACCCCTACATGTTTATAGTATTATCATAATAAATTGTGCAGAAATTTTAATATATGTAATGGTGTAGGAATGAATAAAATGGGTTATAACCGTAGAAATAATGATATTGTGAAAAACTGGATAAATATATGAAATCGTTTGTAATAGAAGTTGTACCAATCATGTTTAATGTGCAAAGGTATGTTGTATAAGTTTGGGATGACCTTGGAAGGATTAGAAATAAAAAATTGAGGAAATAGGCAGATTCCGCAAAAGCGTACCGGTACGCCGAAGACAAGTAACCAGACCGTACCGGTACGGCGTAGTCCAGTAGCCATACCATACCGGTACGACCGACAGATTCCAAAAATTTTTAAGTCACAAACAGTCGGCCCTCCTTCCACTATAATACATAAAGATGTCTCATTTAGCCCCATTTCAACACTTCTAACCCTAGAAAACTTTAGAGAGGAAGAAAGAGAGGGAAAAATACAAGATTAAAGGGGCTTTTCACTTTGAATTGAATTAAAGCCCTAGATTTCTTCAATTCTCTTACATTGAGGTTAGAGCTTATTTATATGTATTCTTTTGACTTTAAATCTTATATATATGCTATAAAATCTTTATTTCTTAGTATCCTTGTAAAGACCACCATATTTTAAGCAAAATAATGGTTGGATAATCATTAAATCTCTTTTCTTGGCATAAAATCCTAGTTTTTTCAAGATAAATAGATTTTCCTCTTGTTTCTTCCTTTGTTCTTGACTTGAAACCTTAGTGCTTTGTGTTGAGTAATAAAATGATGTTGTAATGATCTCTTGCTTATTTTCTCAAATTATTCTCTTGTATTACAAATTGTGAGAATTTGAGATTTTGGATTTCCTTGTGTTTTTAAGAAAATGCTTGTTTTTGCATCTCTTGTATGGTTGTTGTGATGGACTTGAATTACATTCGAGCACTGTCATAGAGTGTTAGAAGTTAGTATATCCCAGTGGGGGGTAAGATAGTTTCCTAACACTTGTAGTGGTTTGTTGATTGTGGGAACAACCGCTATTGTTCACATAAGTTCGAGGCTTAGAGTGGATATACCTTTCCTGGGAAGGATTTGTCAATGTCGTGGGAGATGATATACGTCATTCCTAAAGTGGTTTGTGTGGTTATGATTGGGTGAACGAGGTAGAGTCGTTGTGTAGATTCATGGAAAGCAACCAACATACATGAGAATATGGGATGACACTATTGAACGATTATGGTTATTATGTGGAATTGATTTCCTACAAGAGCTTGTGGAGGTATGAGACTCTACAAGAACTTGTAGGAAATGGTTTATGGTTGAAAATGATTTATTATCTGTAATTTGACGTTATTACTTCACTTAATTTATTGTTATTGTGTAAACTTGAGATCTATTGAAATATTCATGTTTTCTTTAAAAAGTTAATATATGATATTTGTAAAATGAGACCTACTTGTTTTGCATGTTTTCTAAACATTGTATGAGTTTGGGAGAATGTTGTTATAGAGCTTAGTGCTCACCCCCTACAAACAATATATTTTTCAGATTATGTGCTAGAGGAGGAGATAGGGGTAGATGAACAAGCACATTGGGAAACTCCTATAGAATGGAACATGGATCCCAAGGTGGACGTCTAGAGTTATATACTCTTTTGTTCTAAACTAGAGAATTTATTTTGAAACTATGTAAAGTCAATTTTTTTGTAATTCCGCTACAAGTTAAATTTGATTATTTTTGGATGCAATTGTCATAGCCTGACATATTCTTTTGGATATGATGGCCATGGTTGACCTATTCTTTTGGGGGATGATATTGTAAATGTTATATTTGATGAATGAAATGTTCTTTAATGATGAATTTATTTAGTTGCTCTCATACTGTGAATGGTTTAGACTGTGATGCCGTCCAAGGTGGTTTTGGGGGCTATACATTATTTATCTTTTACAAGGCGAATAATTAATTGAAGAGAGTGAGGGAATTGAAGTGGAGGACCTCGTCGAAGGAAATGATGTTTAGGAAGAACCATTTATCTCGGTCCATGCTCTTTTCGGGTCCTTTTCTTATCAGACCATGCGCATACAAAGATTTATCAAGCGGCACCCGATCACCATACTCATCAACTCAGGTAGTACTTATAATTTCCTAGATCCATGTGTTGCCAAGCGAAGTGAATGATCCACCCAACAATAGTACAATAGTATGCTAAAAGCTCAAATGGGTTATGCAAGGGATTGAATTCTAGGCCAAATTTCGATTTCTATTATTGGGTAGTTGTGAAATTGTCTTGGAAGTGCAATGTTTGAGTGCTCTTGGTCCTATCAATTGGGATTTCAAAAATCTTCGCATGAAATTCCAGCACAACAAGCGACGTCATGTCCGGCATGGTGGCACTAATAGTACTGTGAAGGTCATTGGGCCTGCCAACATGATGAAGGCATTGAAAAAGGCTAGTCAAGGAGCCACAACTCACTTATTTTCTCTCCAGATCCAATCAAACCCACCAGAAACAACTATGGTAGTTACTGACTCTAAGTTGTTGAAATTACTTACTGATTATCAAGAGATCTTTGCAGAACTAGTGGGTTTACCACCATGCCGTTCGCATGACCATATGATTCCTTTGATGCCGATTAGCCAACCAACCGATGTGAGGCCTTATCCATAGCCCAACATTCAAAAAAATGAGATCATGAAAGTTATGAAGGAAATGTTATAAGTTGGAACCATTAGGC